CTGCCAGTTTATACTAAAACAATTAATCTGTGTACTGAGATAGTTAATCGCATATCATATGATTCAGATATAAAATAAGTACATCTACAATAAAAATGGCATTATGAATTTTAGAATTCAGCAGACAGCTATTCAGCTCAATTTCCATCACACTTCAGAAAACTATCTCCAAACCGAAAATCTATTGAAGACTGCTATAAGAAATTGAAAATTTTTACAGCTCATGTAGAGGTAAAAATTCTGGGTGATCTGTTTAATAAAGAATAAACTAATATATTTATAAGAAACTTCTAGTAAAATCCAGGTAAACCAATGATGAAAAAGAGTTTTGAATTTCAAATACCAGAATCTACAGTACGCAAAAATTTTTAAACATGGCTAAAATACACTACATAAAAAAACTGCAGCTGCTGTGGTATTTGTTGAGATGCCTCAAGTCAGATTTGGCAGAAACTGTATAACTGGATAGATATCAGCCCTGATATTACTGGCATAGACAAAGAGAACATTTGTGAATTGTTGCAACAAACTGAACAGATTCTGTACATTTTAATAAAAATTTAATTATAAATATTATATTGAGTTTATCTGCAAATTATTAAAGTTCAACAATATTTTTAAGAAAACTCTGTATTATAAGTGCCAGTGTCTACTTATATGATAATGAATATTTTCTTGACAGTTAACTCCTGATTAATTATGGGTGAAATAACTGGTTAGCTGGTTAACTAAACCCTTTAAAAAATTACATTTGTTTATGACAGAATGATAAGAAAATTACTATCAGAAACTATCAGCATAAAACAAAATAACCTATGAAAAACACAAAGGAGGGAGGGAATGCATGGGATAGAAACAATAATAAGAAATTAAGTTCAGAAGTCAAACAACAAAAATCAGCGTTATACCTACAAAAATTTTTCACGGATGTTTCGATGGTTTTACCGAACCATCATCTTCAGCTGCAAAACAGCAAATGAACAAGATAGGAAATAATGATTAGATAAGATAAGAAAGCCCGGACAAGAAATAAGAGTGGCGCCATCTGTTGGCGAAACCAGAACTAAACATAATTTCTCTAAAAAGCCGAAGGCAAATTGGATTGGAATTAGGATCGTTAACTAGAACCAGAAAGATTTTTATGAATGTGAAATGCCTCTAGAAAATCCAGTTCTCCAATGGAAGATGGTTTGAATAATTTTGGCAGTAGAAAAATTGAAGTGTGATTTTCGGACCAACAATGTGAGCAACAGAAAACTTCTGTGTTTCCTTTTTTCTAACATATGCCTCATGTTCTTTGACGCGAAATTTTAAGGCTCTTAGTTTGGCCAATGTAAATTAAACCACACTGGCAAGGAATCCTATAAATACCCCAGGAATTCATATCCGGAATGGGGGTCCTTGAGGTATAGAAGTTGGAATTTTTATTGATGGGAGAATAAACAACCCGAAAGTTAAAATTCTGCAAATATGTGCAACTTTAGAAATACTTTATAGAAGGTAATAAAGATGATTTAAATAAAGTTCTTTCAACAATGAATTCTATTGATCCTGCTTTCAGTTCACTTTTGAACTTGAGACTTGCCAATTCTCTTCCGTTTCTCGACGTCTGGTCACACGTAACACATCCAACTTCAGTACTACAGTTTACCGTAAACCTTCATCGGTTTGCCTTCCACCACACTTTAAATCATGTCATCCGACTAAACAAAAGTTAGCTTCATTTATTCCTATGTTTTCCGTGCTCTTCAAGTTTGCTCCTCCAAACTAGCCCTTGATGAAGAACTAAATTATTTAAAAGCAATAGCTATTGACAGGGGCTTTTCACCCCAACATTATTCATCAAGCAGTTAAAAAATTCTCATCCAACACACTAAAAGCCACACTCTTATTTTAGGAGATTATAAAAAATTCTGTTGTCATTCCCTTCTTTCCATCAATTAGCTATAAAGTTGCACATATTTTGCAGAAATTAACTTTCGGGTTGTTTTTCTCCCATCAATAAAATTCCAACTTCTATACTCAAGGACCCCATTCCGGATATGAATTCCTGGGGTATTTATAGGATTCCTTGCCAGTGTGGTTTAATTTACATTGGCCAAACTAAGAGAGCCTTAAAATTTCGCGTCAAAGAACATGAGGCATATGTTAGAAAAAAGGAAACACAGAAGTCTTTCTGTTGCTCAACATTGTTGGTCGAAAATCACACTTTCAATTTTTTCTGCTGCCAAAATTATTCAAAAAACATCTTCCTTGGAGAACTGGATTTTCTAGAGGCATTTCACATTCATAAAAATCTTTCTGGTTCTAGTTAACGATCCTAATTCTAATCCAAATTTGCCTTCGCTTTTAGAGAAATTATGTTTTAGTCTGGTTTCGCCAAACAGATGGCGCCATTGCTTATTCTTGTCCAGGCTTTCTATCTTATCTAAACATTATTCCTATCTTGTTCATTTGCGGTTTTGCAGCTGGAAGATGATGGTTCGGTAAAACCATCGAAACTAGTCCTGTGAAAATTTTTGTAGGTATAACGCTGATTTTTGTTTTGACTTCTGAATTAGTATTTATTCGGCATGTTTATTGTGTCTAAGAAATTAAGTCTTTCAATTGGCCTCTGCCAGAAAGCAAAATGTTCTAATCAATTTTTTATGTCAGTTTGAATTCAATAACACTGTTCGAGTTCTCTTGCCAATACTGTCCTTTAAATAGTAACCAGTTATTATTGATTTAGTTTTTTCATTTCTAATGATGTTACTTTTGTGTTATTTAGCAGCATTTGTTTGTTTCTGTTTTCTGTATCAGTTTAGTTAAATGACCTTGCTCTCAAAATTAAACTGCTAAAAAATACAAGTGCTTCTCCATGTGTCCCCCGCCTCTTTAACCTAGGATTAACTAGGATTGTTAAGTTAACCATGGACATTACCCCAATTAATCAGGAGTTGACTGCATTTCTATTAACTTTATCAAAATTTTATACACACAAGTAAAACTATGCTATCTATACAAGATGTAACCCATGCTGATAATAATTCATTTAATAAAGAATGGGTCATCCATAAAGTTCTACATTTTTTATGTTCAATTCCAAATAACAGCAGTATAATAAGATATGAAAAATTCACTGAATTACACCACCATTTGGTTCTATAACTTTTGCCATCTCTCCAGCAGCTGAAAAATTCCCTTTTTAAAAAAGGTCAAGAGGTTTATCTATAAAAAAGTTACCAAAGTGCTGTTCAACAGAAATTTGTTTCTTCTCTTAAATTTGATCACTATAAAAACTTAAACATGAATCAAATCATATCATCAACATGATAGAACTTCAAATGCAATTTTTAAAGAAGACATCATTTTATTGGTATTAAATCAATTTAAACAAGCTTATGCCAATTATTGCAATGGTAAGTGAATAACCATTAATCATTTGTAATTACGATAATAAAGTTTTTCTGAAATAAAAAATAATTTGAAGTTATTTTTTTTTCCACTTGCCAAATTGATTAACTCCCTTAGTCACACAGAAATCATAATAATTAAAATAATTTTTCTAAAAATACTTTATCTTTTGCAACTTAAACGTAACTAGATAAAAATTACATCTATGGTATAACATATTCTATAATATTTATTTAAACTCATATTTTAAGAATTTTTAAAAACACTGTGTATTATTAATTCAGAAGTCAAACAACAAAAATCAGTGTTATATTTTCAAAATTGGCAATGCTTAATACCGAGAAAATTTTGAAAATATAACGCTGATTTTTGTTGTTTGACTTCTGAATTAGTATTTATTTGTTGTGTTATTGTGTCTTAACTGTGTATTATTTTATGAATTTTTTCATTTTCTGTTTTATGGAATTAATTTATTTGGCAAGTGAGTTCCTCAATTAGTAAATCATGTAACATACATAATTGGTTTGGTTTACTTAATTACGGCGAAGCATTCAAGTTCTATCTGCCTAAAGGGAGGGATGGCTATCTGCCTAAAGGAAACTGGCTCGTATACATGGTAACAGACATAAAAATACAATTCAGCCAAATAATAATGTGAATAAAATGTTGGTATGTTTCCATTAAAGCCATCCACTTAGCATATTTTTGGGATGTTTTCTCGATATCATGCATTGCCAATTTGGTTTGGCTCTTTTTTTTTTTTTTTTTTACAATAACTTTCTTTATAACCATCATTTGCACAACCATGTTTTTCATCCAATCAAAATTTTTTTTAATTGCAATGGATTTTGTGACTTGAGATATGCCAAAAGATAAAGTAGTAATTATGTTTTTTTGTTTTTTGTTTGTTTTGTTTTGTTTTTTTCCCAAGAAAGAGAAGAAGAAAGACTGTGTTTGAATAACCACCTCATGAAATTTAAATGTGGCTTGAAGATGAAATGGTTAATAGCATTCTCTCAAGTCAGGAAGAAAAAGATGTCTGAGCATGATTTATGAACTCGTGCATATTTTTCATTACTGTTGTATGATTCATAAGCTTGTGACATCAGGAGTTAACAACATTAATTTTTGCAAACAAAAACTTGCTTCAAATGAATCACCACATATTGCTTAATTAGAATAATTTTATAATAATTATAAAAAGAGGTATGTAGCAAATCCGTGTATTTCATTCCTAATGTTAAAATCAATGAATGAAACAAAATTGTAGGAATTCATAAAAACTATTCGGGAAGGGGATAATAATGTAGTACATGCTTTTCTCTCACAGTAGAGTTCTCAAGGATTTTGTCATGAACTTAGAGAATATTCTTGCTCCAAATAAATCCATATCAGGGCCTATTGAGTCAAAAGCATGAAGAATAATAAACAAACAATACTGCGCCCAAAACATGTGGTATGGCTTCAATGGGAAAGCACCAAAATATTTATGCATAACATGACAATCAAATGAAATATTGAATGAAGAATTAATGTTCTTGCAGATGCTATTTTGTGACTTAATTATAGTTAAAAAGTTAATTTAAGCTTTGCATATAAAAAATACAAACCTCTCCCAGTAAATGGCTGCATAATGTTGCCACACTGTTGAGTCTATTCTTCCCTTGATTACAAATTAGGCATATTTTTTCTCTATAATAAAATATAATGGTATAGTTATTATTATAATTAATATAGTACTGATACACAAAAATCTATGTAACAAACCTCCAGTTATCAAAACTCTAGATATCCAAAACTCCAGTCATTCAAATTACTTATTCTTTTTTCTACACAAGGTACAATTAATTTTCTTAATTTACTAACAATTTAAATTTTTTTGCTTATAATATGAAAATATAATATAGTACAGAGCACATTTTTAAGATATTATTTAATTAAGGTAATTAATTAAAATCAGCAGTTCTCAAACTTTTTCACTCACAGATCCTTTTTTAGAATCAACTCTTTTCGCAGAGCCCTTTAGACCAATTCTATATTATGCAAGTTAGTGATGCCTAAGAATAGTATCACAGCATTCACAGCATTGTCATCTTACACATGAATCAAGTTCTTGACTTGGTTCATGTGTAAGATGACAATAGTTCTTAACTCGTACATAACAAGATAACCACTTGAGCATTAATGGCTCGGGGCCACTGAGATCTAGCATGGCATTCAGTATGGCCCTCCTGGACCTATGGATTCTATACCACCTCACAGTCATATGATCCCAAACAATATGAGCAGCAGTGTCATGGAACAATAAATTGCAGTCCCAACAGGCTACGATCCTGCTATGAACAAACTCTGAAATGTGCTAGTACGAGTTTCTCGTTCTTGCATGAAACATACAAAGAGCTTAACACAAATAACTAGCATTCAAATGCGATTTTGAAATGAGAAATCCACTGTGTAATCTTCCAATTCATACACTATGCAAATGGTATTACTCATATATGCTTTGTGCACATAGGTTGGAATGCTTAACCAGTTGCATGTCACAGTATTGCAATTTAAGAGTTCAAAATTTTATACAGTTCATTATTTTTACTATCACCTTTATTACTGAACACTAACTTGCTATGCAACTAAATCTCATAAAGAAATTAAATGTACAAAAAACTTGTGGAAGATCACTAAGAAATCACAAGATCATTGCTATGTATATTCACTGTGAAGTAACCCAACTAGCCATCTTTATTTATATGAAGCTGAGCTTTGAGAAACATCAAGGGGATTCCAGGAATTCTTGAAAATTCCAGAATGAGTGAGAAGATTAATGAATGTGTAGTTACAGCGAATGATCCAAGTATCATCTGTTAGAGAAGACACAAAATTAAACATAGAGAAATTTCCATGTTCAAAATATAATTTCTAAATTGTTTATTTTGATTGTACAGTTTTATCAAATATACCAACTATTTTCCTTGAGAAAAATGCTTTACTTCAACGTGCAGCAAGAGGAACTCATGGTGGCTTTCCATATTCTTTGCACTTTAACATACAAAATCTATTTTTAAGAGGTTATGGACTTTATACAATTTTTATTTTCATTTTTAATAATGAACATTGACTCATTATATGACTAAGCCTCAAAAAAGAAATAAAATGCACAAAAAAAAATTGTGGAAGGATTACTAAGAAATCACAATGTTATTATCATTTTGACTATTCACTATCTAAATCTGTATTTATCCATTTGCATGGCCATTTTTACTTATATGGAGCTAAGTTTTGTGAAGCCTTAAAAGGGTTTTAAGAATTATTGAAGGGTCAAAACATTTCTCGAATATGTAGATGCCAAATATCATCTGTTAGAGAAGACACAAAACATAACCTGAAGAATTTCCACATTAAAAACATAATTTCGAAATTCCTGATTTTTAAATTTTTTTTTTTTTTTTTTTTTTTCTGTTTGTTTCTTAATGCTTAATTTCATTCAGCTGCTGCCCAGATGGTATAGTGGTTAGAGGAGCCAAACTAAACCTAGAAAGAGACATAGTTGTATTTGTGTGTCCCCTCCTAGGAGGCAAATGTGGCCCACCTATTAGGTGCCTCCATAATAAAGTGACCACCACTTCTGTCCTTAGTAGTGGCCAACGTCTGGTGGACTGTTTGGGCCTGCCATTGGGTGGCAAAAAAAAAAAAAAAAAAAAAAAAAAATCCAGCTTTTATTTTACTCTATTTTATTTTTATTTTCCTGGCACAGCCTACGAACTCTGTGCATAGATTTGGAACCATTGATTTAAATTACTTCTGAACGTGAAGAAGTAAGTTATGAATTTTATTTCACGCAAAAATAAAAATATAATGTCCTTGTTTAATTTTTGTACAGTGGAAATGAAACAAAATTATATATTTAGTTTGCATCTGTGTAATAAAACAACATATTTCACTACTTATTTTCTAGTTGAAAATAAAAATCAGTGTTGTGTAACAACCAAAAATAAATAAATAAATAACTTCACAGTTTAATTTTTAAAACATATAAATAGATAAATAAATGAATAATATACAATAAAATTTAATAAAAAGTTATTTCATTATTTGTTTTAGAGAAATAAAAATGTTTTTTTACTTCTTTTTAACTGTATAATGTGTGCAAAATTATTATAAAAAATATTAATTTACATACATGCATGATAATAAATAAAAAACACATATTAAAAATAAACTAATTTAAAAATAATAAATGAATAAAATAAACTTAAAAGTAAAAAATTCTTTTGTCCTTTAAAAAATTATGGGTTAATTATTAGCATGATTTTAAAATATCCAGTCGGGCTGTACTCCAATCAATCCACGATGATCTCATGCTGCTTACACTGTCTATGTTTTCACAGGATAGCGTACGAAGGCCTTATCTTGACATAATTGACTGAGAAAATCTTCAGTTATGACTCAAACATTGTCAAAAGTCGCGTGATAAAACTACAGAACTCATTTAAAAAAAAAAAATATTTAGGACAACTCATTCAGAGGGATTATATTAGAGATATCATATTCTGATTTATTCAATTATACTTTACTCAATAACTTGTAAAACTTTATTACTATATTTTTTTCTATTAACACTTCATGTATTCAAAGGGGAAAAAGGTTTTATTATTATTTTTTATTAATATTTCAAGAAACAGAACTTATGAAAATAAAATGCAACAACAAAAATTTTGGGGGTCATATTTTTTTTTAATTTTTGTATTTAAGAAAGTTCAATTAATAAAGTACTTTTATTTATTACTTAATTTATTTTATTTATTTACTGCACAGGCTCATTATCACACATAAATGGAATAGTATTACATAATGGAAATTTTTTCAAATCCATTTTGCAGCAGATACCAAAAACATTTTTCATATGCCACTAAAAATTTGGCATACAACAAAAATGCTGTTAAGAAAGTAAACAGTTTTGTTAAACTTATCATTTTTATGTATCTTTTCTTCTGGATTAATAAACATATAAAAACTAAACAGCATACATATACAATAATTACTTACATTTCGGACATTTTGTAATGATTCTGGAGTAATACTGAAGTTCACAGGCACTGCCTTGGAATCAACTTTTTGATTCTAAAATGTGAACAGAAAACAACACTGTCATTGAAAATAAGTATTATTAGAGATCAGCAAAGCAGAAATTTTAAGAAGTCACTATGAATCCCGATTATTTTTGGACTACCCTTCATATGCTACAATCTTATTTTGAAAACTGAAAATCCTTACTCCAAATTACATATTTTATAAATTCACACAGAGAAAAGATTCTGAAGTAACAGAATGCAAATTAGCAATTATGTTTTATAAAGTGGAAAAAAAAAACTCTTCCTTTTCTTTAGCAACCTGACAGAGTGGAAAAAAGCTGTCATGTTTGCAAGGGTTCTTTATTATATTGAAATAAAATTTAATTAAGACAAAGATTTAATACATCGACATTTTTACATTACAATCTACACAAAGATTTACTACATTTTGCTTAAAAATTTTACAATATCTAGTGAAAGGAAGTTTTAAATAAAATAGCATGCATTTGTTTCTTTTTTTTTTTTTTTTTTTTTGTTTTATAACAAAAAAACAATATACCATATGTTCAATTAAATTTTATTAAAAATCAATACAGAACAGAATAAAAGAAATGTCAGTTACATTGCAATCAATAACACATTTCATCCCATATCAGTATCAAATAAAATTACGGAAGATTTGATTAAAATTACCTTATATTCAACAATAAATTCCATTATTTTCTGCAAATCTTTGTTAAGAAGAGATCTCTTCATTTCACATTTCAAATAATACTACAAAAAACAGGAAAAACTTAGATGCACTTAACTATGGATAAACTGGTTAATAATTATCACATATTACTACATTAAAAATACAAAAAACATATTTAAAAATATGCAGAAATGCCTGTTTAATGGAAATTGCAAGGCAAAATATACAACCATATGGATTTTAACTGCCAAAACAAAAGAGTTTTGATGTGATATTTGCCTTCACTGATATACACTGATGACTGATATACACTGATATTGTCACTGATATACACTGATATACACTGATCACTGATATACACTGATGAGCCAAAACATTACGACTACCCCCCATTTTTTAATAAATTCGTCTGGATGACATGAAGAGCTGTGATTACATGGGAACGGTATTTAAATGCCGCTGGGGAAGGTAAGAAATCATTCTTGCACTTTTGCAAGTAATGGAAAAGGCTGCTGATCTAAGTGAATTTGATAGAGGGCAGATTGTAATGGCCAAAAGACTCAGAATGTGTATCCCTGAAATTGCCCGACAGGTAGGTTGTTCATGATTGTTAGTAAATAGTAAATACTAACAATGGCAGATACAAAGTGGATAAATGACAGTGAAACCAGCAGTAGATGCCAGGGTATTGGACATTCATACATCATCAAAGAAAAAGAACTTTAGAGATTGTCCCACTTGGTATAACAAAATCGGTGCCAGACAGTTGCTCAGCTGACAGCCCAATACAATGCAGGTTCAAATGAAAGTGTTTTGGAACACACAGTTCAGAGGACTCTGTTGGAAATAGGATTGAGCAGCAGATGTCCTACTCATGTGCCTCTGTTGACCAAGTGTTATAGTTAACTACAACTACAGTGGGCCTGGGAACATCGAGACTCAACTGTGGATAAGAGGAAGACAGTTGACTGGTCGGATGAATTGTGGTTTCTCATATTCATCAGATCGATGGTCATGTCAGGGTATGCCACTTTCCAGGCAAACAGTTGCTCTCCTTCCCTGTGCAACAGGTCATACACAGACTGGTTGATGGTGGTATTATGCTTAGGGTGACGTTCTCATTGGTGGCTCTGGGACCCTTAGTTGTGATAGAACAGACATGAATGCTGTAAACTATCTGAACATAATGGCTGATTAGTTGCCCCCTTATATGGCATCTGTTTTACTAACTGGAAATAGAATATTCCAGTAGAACAATGGCCCCATGGCCGAAGGCTCAAATTGTGTTGAAGTGGTTCGAGGAGCATAAGGATTAATTCCAGTTAATGTCTTGGCCACCTAAGTCGCCGAACCTTAACCCAATGCAGCACATTTGGGATGTCATAAAGCGGCAGTTCAGAGCTCAAATACCACCATGTCAAACAATCTCGACTTTGTGTGACTGCTGCTTAGACATTTGGTACAACCTGTCTCCAGCCATCTACCAAGAACTTGTAGCATTACATGCCAAGACAAGTTGCAGATATATTGCTGGCCAAAGGTCACATAATGCATTACTGGGTAGGTGGTCATAATGCTTTGACTCTTCAGTGTATAATTGCTGGAATAAAGTGTTGTAATACGCTATAATACCAGTAATAAGATAGCAGATGCTGTAATAAGCTGTTGAAATTTTCAGACTCTGAGATTTTCAGCTATAGTGTGGTATATGGAATTAACTTGAATTTTATTTATTTATTTATTTTAAATCTAGAAAAGCCTGCCCTTACGGTCCACAGGGACAAGCTTCGGGGAGTACATGAGGTCTATGGTCACACAGATTGAAAAACATGGCTCTAGTCCCATTAATGGCATGCCAGTGATTATAGTTATGATTGCACCAATCCCTCCTCCCAATTTTAATGTGTCATTGCAATTAGTAATGTAAATATAGTGTAATCAGCATAGTATTTATTATATCAATACTTTTCCTATAAGAACTTACAGCATATGCTTAGCACTGGATAATGAACTATGTTCTAACTTTTACAATTTGATGATAATTACAATTATTTTGATAATAAAAACATAAAAATTTGAAGGAGGAAAAAAAAGAATAAACTAACCTGTATACTAATGAAAACACCATGATAAGTTTCATATAAAGTCCTGTTAGTTCTGGGCTTTAATGGAATCTCAAATGGAATTTCAGTTCTTCCGGCTGGTAATTTTCCTGGCTTAGAAATTTCTAAATTACAGCTTGTTAAAAGCACAGGCTAAATGTAAAAGAAATACAAAATGTATGTTACTTAATCAACAAGAGTATAACTTAGGACAAGTTAGGAACTATGTTATTATTAACTACTTAAAATGGGCTTTGCTCAAAAGAAATATCATTTAGGAAACTAAGTATTAGGCATTCAGAACAAATAGATATAAACTGATACACAAAATGAATAGTGTTAAAAACTTATATTAAATAAAAAGACTTAATTATTATTTCCTTTTTAATGTAAATACATAATTTTATGTTTATATGGTACTAAATAATTTAAAAGCTGACTACTTAAAGTTACTGTATTTGAACTTGTATATTATATTGTAGATATTTGGTGATAACTTAAAGTTATTGGATACATTCAAATCACATCACAAATAAAAATAATAATTTTTAATTTTAAATAATTTAAAATTCAGTGTTTATACTAGAAAAAATACTTAAATATTAGAATTATATTAGAGCTATCACTAAAATACAATTTACATTTCTTCTACTTTCCAATACTAATAAAGTTCATTAAAAGAAAACTACAAAATATCGTAAATAAAAAATTTTGAAGGGGAAACTAGTTTTTATATCCTAGTATTACAGAATACTACTATAGTTAAAGAACATTATATGATATCCTGTTACTTAAGCTTTTGAGTAATGCATAGTAAGTCAAACTACACAGGCAGTTTGGTCCAGGGTTCGAATCCTGACGAATGGGCTGGCTGCATGGGCCTTCTGATGGTTTTTCTATATGCAATATATATACAAACCAGTTTCCCATAAAGCCCTCCACGAACGCATCCCTTCTCTTATGCAGATAGCCCGAGTACTTTGCCATAATCAAATAAACCAGAAAAAATTAAAAGTAGTTTGATGTTAATAATAATTAAAATATCAGAGCATCTGATTTATTTGTATATGACTCAATTTATGACCATTAACTTAGTATAATGCTTAGTATACATTTTTTATAACTTAGTATACTTTTTGGCTAATCTTTGGAATCAGGTAATTTCGCAACATTTTGGTAAGGCGATAAAGGTTACTAGCTAGGACTTTAGCAGTGACATGGATAAAGTGAAGAGGTGCGCAATGCCATTTTTGTGCAATTCTGGATGTTTTTTAAGTGAAATAGGTCCACGTGTACATGGATACTGTGTAATGTGTAATTATTAAAAAACGGCGGCAAGCAGTGGGCGATTCTGCACTTTCTCCCCAATTTCTCACCTAATCTTCATCATGATTAAGCCCCTTTTGTTCCATAAAAGTTCTAGCATAAGCGTAATTCGGCTAGCAGATTTTTGGGGGGCAGAAAAAAAAAAAAAAAAAAAAAAAAAACATGCCTTTTACTTTGTGAAACAATGGCATCCAAAAAAAAAAAAAAAAAAAAAAAAAACTAGCAGGTTGCTGTAGCAGTGTTGGTCACCAAATTTTCGCCAAAAAATCACCAAGTTATCATAATCCAAAGATTAACCTACTTTTTTTCAAGTAAGATCCAATAAGCATTACTTCCAACATGCAAATGCAAAATAATGAACATTTACAAATAAATTCAGGCTCTACTCTTATATGTGTCCTAAGATCACCAAATGTGGCAATATGTGTTCTGTGCTGGTTTTGGGCATGATTCTGTGCTGTGGGATGGTTTGGTGGATGATGCTGTTTGTATGGCAACCCTTTTGACATTGAAACTTAACTCTTTTGCTGCAGTGATTTAATTGTTTGTTGGTTCATGTCGTGCGTGTTTTGAATGTTGCAATGAGAGACGTGGTGGCAAGATTTCAGTCGTGTATTTTAGATTGTGTGCAAAGTAAATTTAGTATTAAAAAGTATGACATTGGAGTTGTTAACGAGTCTTTTGTTCCCGCGTGTGTTTATGCAGATAAGTGCATTTTCGGAATTTCTGTGGGTGTCAGGACTTAAAGAGTTTGGCGTGTCGGAAACGTGAAGCTGATATGAGAACTCGGACAAAGAAAGGTATTTCTGATAGACTTGTGTGGGTCTGCAGATAAATGGTTGCTGGAAAAGTATGTGGCTGTCAGCGGAGTTTAAGATTTGGATCATGGTTTTCGTGTAGTATGTTAACTTTGGAGGAAGTTTTTATCGTTACTTTCAAAATTTTGAATCACAAAAAGACATGTGATATAGCAAAATCATGGCACTTTTGTTCATAGACGTTGTGTGACTGGCAAAATTTTATTCACGTATGTATTATGGTAAGTGCATTTTATTTTATTGTTTTTATTTTTTAGAATGTTATGTTCATTGTTTTTTTACTATGAATTTCTGTTGTTATTTGAACTGTTTGCAACTTATTTTAGTTTATTTTGTTGATTTGTGCACAGTGCCTAGATTGTGCAATTTGTGGATATCTTTTTTAATTTAAACAGAATGCTGTGTACATGGTGTTCTTTGAAATTTATTGTTGTTATGCTAATTCATTAAAGTGAGGTGTGCGTAGTTCATAGGTTCTTTCACTGCCTAGATTGTGCAAGCAATTTGTAGATTTTTTTAAAGTTAAAACATATCGCCCTGTACATGGATTCTTGTCAAATATTTTTTGTTAGAAACTTCACGTTTTTGCTATCTAAATTTCTTGTTTTTGTTTCAGATTATTAGCATATATTGTATGTTCAAAACGTGGCTTTTGCATGTGCGAAAACTGCGTTTTTGGAGACATTTTAGGCTTAAAATTTGAAATGTAGACAAAAAATTTAGATAGTAATATGACACCATGGAGTTTCTCGCCAAAAATATTTGGCGAGAAATTTGTCACCAAGCGAGGGCATATACTATAAGAGTAATTCCTAAATTCATAAAAACCAACTGCTTCATCCACACTAAAAAACTGTTCAGAAAACCATAAAACAAAATTATATTTTTCTTCTACTAAAGCTACTGATCACACTGCAAAAAAGAAAGATTTACAAAATGGGTGATGTCTGAAAGTTCATACAATCCTTTTCTGACAGCTACTCAATTTATTTATTTCTGGTGTCAAGAGTTCATACTGGTAAAATTCGCTCAATGGCAACCATAAATGAATAACTTTAAACTATGAAATGGAATAATAACGTGTTCTTACTTATGTATTTCTACATTTATTTTTCATATTTTAGATTTGATAAAAAAAGTGATTCTTTTCTCTTTGCCCTTTTTATTTCCAGATAAATTTCATACCAACATTTACATTTAGCACTACGTAGTGCACTGTTATTTGAAAAGTATCTAAAAATATGTTTGAACATATTTTGTATATTTGGTTAAAATTTCTGGTACTTACGTAAAATCCCATCGATCACAAGAAATGGCACCAAACCAAAAAAAAATTACTAAGTACAAGAAAAAACGTTCTATTCTTATTTTTCTTTCAAATTTATTATATTATCATTTATAGAAAAATATTTTACGGGTAGCCCTTGGTAAAATTGGCAATTTTTGGCAGTAACATGGATACCAAGTTTGTGCAATTCTTTGACTTCTTATTTTCGCTTTATGTAGCGGTGATTTTAGCGCCAAAAATCGTCACTACACAAAGACAAAATAACAAGTCAAAGAATTGCACAAACTTGGTATCCATGTACACATTGACCTATTTTCACTTGAAAAAAATCAGAAAATTGCACAAACCAGACATTGTGCACTCCCTTGACTTTATCCATGTACATGTCAACCTATTTTCACTTAAAAAGACACCAGAGAATTGTATAAACTTGGCACTGCAGAATCCCTTGGCGATAAATGAAATAACAACTTCATGATAATACAACGGACACCCTTCTGTCTACTCTAACCTCATTTATTCATATTTAATTTTTCATGAAAAATTTCCATTATTTTTTAATTAAGGAGATATACTGTAAGAGCAATTATTTTCACTAGGTTTTAATTTTTGCGAGAAAATATAAGTCTCATGAAATCCTTTTTGTTCGTCTCAAATGATAATAAAAAAAAAAAAAAAAAAAATCAAAAATTTTTCACTTACCAAATTTTGCAAAATTTTCTGCTTGTGAAATCACTGATATCTTCATTTTCGCAAAAATTACGGCTCGTGAAAATAAGCGCTTCACTCGGATTTATCGAGGCGACCAAAAATTCCTAATTTCAGTTAGAATAGCAATGAATATATCTTCATCCTTATGAAGCCGACTTTGAAAATGCATGATAGAAAGAAAAAAAGGATTCTTTACTCAAGAATAATAACTAACACATTTAATCAAGTTTACATCAAACCTGGCGTTTTGAAGACTTTTCCATTTTTGATGAAAAATCACGTAGTTTGGGGTCTTTTCTTTAATAGGCAAAAATGGTCAACAAGATTTTCCCGCTAGTACCAAAATTTCCTACAGAGTGCCATGTGTGGCTTGAAAAAGTGCTCAATTGAAGGAATAAACTGCAAAATTAGGACTATATGATAAGATAGGTAATGTATGACAATTTACATCACATAAGCAAATATTAAAATAGCAGTAATTTCAACTTTTCTTACAGTTTTTCATAATTTATTACAATCATGATCTATCACAAAAAGCAGAGAGCAAAATATCTTTAAAAAAAACTTTGCTTAGATCTTAGAATATATATCACACAAAAAAAATTTACAGTTTTGCTTAGCAATTAAAGCAAGATCATAAGCATTTAATTTTTTTTTTTTTTATTTTTTATAAATTGATTTACCTTAGCTGATGAATAAAATGCTTCCAAGATTCCAACATTTTTCGCACTTAACTGCATTGTAACATTGCCTTCCATTGATAGGGTTATCCCTTCGTGTTTGACTTCCGATCGACTTTCAATAATGACATACCCAATTATGGCTTCCTATTTAAAACATATTAATATATGATATAATAATATCTTATCTTTATAACCTTTATCAAAAAAAAATATATATGGAAAAGATATCATAGATACTTTTCTATAAATCTTCATTATTGAACAGTTTCAGACATATGCTTCCAGGTAGTGTTTGGATTATATATTATTAATTAACATAGTAAATGTATCTATAGTGTTCATACTCTCTTCAGAGAAAATGAACTCATATAACAAGCATAAACAACATAAGTAGCCGCCTAAGGCACAGAATTTCAGAGAGTACCTAATTTGCTCTCTTAAGCAATAGCATAAATAAAGGTTTATTTTTCTCCGAGTTTAAAATATGTTAAATTTATATGGGCTGCTAGTTGTATCAATTGCCTAATGTACCAAAAATGCTGCAGATTGGCCTGACTAACTTAGAAAGACTGTGAAAGACCTTTTAAGGAGAAATAGTTCATAGTTATATAACACAAGTAGAAAAGGGTGAAAAACCCGTGAAACCAGCACATTTAATCATTCAAATTTAAACATGAAAAGGAAAGAAGAAATAATATGCAGTGGTCTTATTTACTCAACAAAAGATTTTTGAACATGTTCTTATCTATCAGCACCACACCATATTGCATTCAGTTATTTTGTTGCTTTCCAATACTATTAAAAAATATGCTAAAAAGCTTCTCTAATCATCCTTTTCTAATCATGTACCTAATATTAAATACATTTATATATATTAATGTACTAGGTTATTCAAGCAACTGACAGAAAACTGGAATTGCAAAAAGAAGACTTTTTTTTTAATTTTTTTTATTTATTTATTTATTTATTTATTTTTATTTTTTATTTATTTATGAACTCAAGTATTTAGATAACAAATAAAGAATGATAAATTCTTCAGAAAAAGAATAAACTTAATACTTGAAAAAAAAATTTTACATTTCCATTATTAGTACAAAGTGGCTCCTCTACAGTTAGCAATACATTTTCTACTTATCATGACAATGAAACATACATGTGCTGTAATGTATCTTGCTCACCATGCTTGCTCAACCCACAAGAAAATATCAGCCATTGGTTGAAGAAATTTCTATAAAATATGTAGATCCTCTCCTATATCTGAGACATTTCATCTGATAGCAAATCTAAGAATCTGGCAGGCCATGATTATATTAGCAGGTCAGATTAATGCCCCAAGCAGATCTTAGGCTACTATCAGTATGCATCTATGAAATTTAACAGGGTGTGATAATCTAAAGCTCTCCAACCCATCACCTTTAGTGTTTGAACAGCATATCACTTAATATGCTTATTCAATGTTCTGTTCATCAAGTTGGTATAATATGCTTATACTTGCATTAACAAAACTGAAATAAGTACAGGATTCACTGCTGAAAGTGACTTGACACCATTCTGCATTCCACGTTAATCCACTATGGCAACATTTCAAATACAAGAAATGACAGTAGGTGGTGGATGGTAGAACCAACAAGTATACAATCTTACATCTAAAAAAGGAATGGAAATCATTTCCCTAACAATGGATCAGTGATATTCCACTATGGCAACACTTCAAATACAAGAAATGACAGTAGGTGGTGGATGGTAGGACCAACAAGTATACAATCTTGCATTTGAAAAGGAATGGAAATCATTTCCCAAACAATGGATCAGTGATATTAGGTATTACTGCTCCTCTAACAGCCAAGAAAGTAACAAAGATAGCAAAGACTTGTCACTGAATGAGATTATCAATATTCCCCTCAATACTCCAGACCAAATGACTATAGTGTACGAGCACCTCTGAGCCACTGAGCGATCTCTATCCAAATGTGCTTCTATATATCTAGTGACCCTCCTCTCTCAAAGTTAACTGCTTATACTGCCAGTAAAAAATGAGCTCTATGCATTTTATATACATAACTGGCATACGAAACCAGTTATGTATATAAAATAACTGGTTATATGTTACCAGTTATGTATATAAAATAACTGTTTGTAAATGTTCATAACTGGTTATCTGAAGTTTAACAACAATTTAATTTGCAAAAATGATTAATTTCAGAGATGTGTATAACAATTTAATAAACCAAATTCGAAGAGAAACACGCTAATTAAAATTCTCTATTTCAAATAATCAGATAAATGGTCAGGTTTTACAAACTTTTTGAGCAATAATGTATAACTGACAAGCATATGAATTAAATTAATTGTAAAAAAGACTCATTGTGAAATGAAAAAATGCAAGATAATAAAAGAATTTGAACTGTCCTGAATGGCCTTTATCATTTGATAAAAATTGTCATAGTAGTAAGAATTAGCAATTTACTAAAAGTACATAATGCTTAACATCAGTTACTCAAAGATGCAACTGCTGATAGATAATTAATATCCATGTAACATGTGCAATAAACGATAAGATTTACTTTCAGGGTAGAAAGATGTATATAAAGCAGTTTGAGTATTCTTGAAAATGTACTTTTATTAAACAAATATTACTTTCTTCCCTAAATAATTAAGCAGGAATATATGCAGTTAATTTGAAATAAGCAAACATTTTGTCTTTGTAGGCAGTTTTTACCAAGAACAAAATTAGCAGTGCTGCTTTATTCATTCGGGTCAAGTAAGTTTGCAATAAAGAGCCTAACTTCAACTAGAATTTAAGGTCAAGACCTTTTTGATCCGAAGCGGTCAGGCCATCAACTCTTGAGTAGGCAACCGGTAAGATTTTTTTAAAAAAAACCGACAGTTAGGACCGGCGCTAGAAATAGTATAACCTGTGGGGTTGCACCGAGCAGGGCGGGATTTAGGGTGGCAAAATTTTTAGAATTGGGCATTGGACGACATTATTTACAAGCCACGCATACTGCATCGGGTGGCAAAATTTGTAGCGCTGGCCCTGCCGACAGAAAACGAATCAGTTCCAGATCTACTGATAGTAGTTTAATACATTCTTTCCAAAGATATTATATTATGATGCACATACAAATGTTTTTTATTCATAATAAGGAACATTATTATAAATAGCTATTAAAAATTTTACAAACCTCTTCATGGTAAATTTTGTTTACACGCTTGAGTCGGATATCTAATGACACAGACATTTTATAGATCTTAAGTTTTTACTGTTCACCCAACATAAAAACAGGTGTGTCGAAAACAAGATTATTTTGTCAACATAAAAGTATGCTGCCAATGTACAAAGCAGAAATTTAGGTTTGCGAATCAAATGCTATCTAGTTGCCCACTGATGTAAATTTAGCTTTGGTTTAATTTTAAAAGTAATATATTCCAAAAAATATAATTTATATTCTTTTTCAAAGAGTAAGTTAAGCATGATAAACTTAAAAGAAGGCAAATGGATATCCAAACTGTACAAGTAGCTTAAATTAAAACGAGAGATTAGTTTTTACTCCTTTCTGTAACAGACTAATAAAAATTTTAGAGTAAAACTTTGCTTTTACAATTAAACTTATATAATATTTGTTTTCCCAATAAATGAAAAATAATTAATATAATTGCTCATTAAGATGAATCAATCACATTCGTCAAAGAAACAAGTAACTATTTTCTAATTTCTCACGCAGAATGATACATATTCGAAGTACTGGCATTTGACTACTCTGAGGTTAGTCAGGTAACTGATTTCTTGGTATAAAAAAAAACTGTTGGACCTCCTATATCTTCATCAACACAAAATTTATTAAATTTTCCCTGAAGACGAGCCCACCTGATGGCCGAATGCTTAAGGCCGCTGAATACTGGTGGTTCAAACACAGAGGAACGGACTGGCTGCATAATTGTTTTTTGTGATTTTTCTCATGTAACGCAAATAGCAGCCCTCAAATTTTCAAAGTACCCCACTTAGGTAAATAATATGTTTACCGTATTCAAAACTTCAACCAAGACGAACAGAAAGAAAATCTTAAGATTTACGAATATTGAACAATTAACAATAATACTGATTCAGAAGTCAAACAACAAAAATCAGCGTTAATTCACAAAATTTTCACAGGACTAGTTTCGATGGTTTTACCGAACCATCATCTTCAGCTGCAAAACCGCAAATGAACAAGATAGGAAATAATGTTTAGATAAGATAAGAAAGCCTGGACAAGAATAAGCAAGTGGCGCCATCTGTTGGCGAAACCAGAACTAAAACATAATTTCTCTAAAAGCCGAAGGCAAATTTGGATTGGAATTAGGATCGTTAACTAGAACAGAAAGATTTTTATGAATGTGAAATGCCTCTAGAAAATCCAGTTCTCCAATGGAAGATGTTTTTTGAATAATTTTGGCAGCAGAAAAATTGAAAGTGTGATTTTCGGACCAACAATGTTGAGCAACAGAAGACTTCTGTGTTTCCTTTTTTCTAACATATGCCTCATGTTCTTTGACGCGAAATTTTAAGGCTCTCTTAGTTTGGCCAATGTAAATTAAACCGCACTGGCAAGGAATCCTATAAATACCCCAGGAATTCATATCCGGAATGGGGTCCTTGAGTATAGAAGTTGGAATTTTATTGATGGGAGAGTAAACAACCCGAAAGTTAAATTTCTCTGCAAAATATGTGCAACTTTATAGCTAATTTGAATGTGAAAGAAGGTGAATGACAACAAAGTTTTTTATAATCTCCTGAAAATAAGAAGGTGGTGGTACTTTTAGTGTGTTGAAGAGAGAATTTTTTAAATAAACTGCTTGATTAATATGCGGGAAGTTTAAAGTTTAATTTGAATAATGCATGTAGATATCAGCCAGGATGGGACTGAGGGGGCTTCCCATGGCTAATCCCTCAGTTTGCTTGTAATATTTATTTTGGAAAACAAAATGTGTTTGTTTCAAACAGAGTTGAGTGAGAGAAATTAGCTCATCAATTTCGATGCAAGAGAAATGAAATTCGCGAAGTCTGGTTTCTAGACATCTTAATGCACCCTCCACTGGGACATTGGTGAATAATGATTTTACATCAAAAGAAACCATGAGTAAATTACGAGGAGAAATGTTTTTAACCTTTTTTACAAACTCTATTGAATTTTTTATGGTGTAAATGTTATTGTCTAATAGAGTGGAAAATCTAGAAACTAAATATTTAGCTAATGGATACGAGGCAGTACCTAAATTTGATACAATAGGGCGGAAAGGAATACCACTTTTATGAATTTTGGGAAGAGCATATAATCTGGCACAATTCGCAACAGATGGGATAAGCGAATGTTTTAAGTTGCTTGAAATGATTTGCGAAGATTTGATCGCAGTTTTTATTTTGGATAAGTCCGAAGGTGAAGGATCTTTAGGGATCGGATTATATGGTCCTTCGTTTAAGAGTTTAGTGACACCATCGATGTAAGTGTTCTTATCCATGACGACTATCTGGCCACCTTTGTCGGCCTTTGAAATGACAATATCCGGGTTAGAATGAATCTCGCGCATTGTAGCTCTTTCTCTCGCAGTTAGATTTGGTTTCAAAGGTTTATTATATTGAATTTCACATTATGAGCGATAAGATGCCTAATCATTTCTTTCTGTGAATCTGAAACTTTACTGAACTTGAAAGCTTTTTCGATAGGAGCCAAAATCTTTGGAATCGAGGGTTTACAGGTTTGTGAGAAGTTAAAATTATATTTTAGAATTCTCTCTTGTTCTTCTGAAAGACTAACATTAGAAATATTAACTATTGGCTTGATGTTTACAATGGGAAGATTTTTTGAACTACTACTTGAACTGGAAGACTGTAAAAGAAGTTTTTCGAATTTAACTGCAAGGGTGTTTTTATGACGGTTAACTGCATTCTCCGTTCTAGACCAAGACTTTTGTTCAAGGGCAGTGAATTTTGGATATGTTTTAGCGAGTTCCAGATGAAGCTTATAGAGTTCATGTTCAATTTTGGACAATTGTTGACGTGTATCCCTTATCACGGACCGAAGTAAGGCAAGTTTGCAATTTAACAGAATTCTTGAAACGCGACTCGAAGGTTTTTGATTAGATTTGATTTGAATAAAATTGGGGATCAATTTTTTACATTTACATTTAAGTAAAAAGTCAAGATGATTCAGGAATTTTTGCCGTTTCAGGCGTAATTTAGTGAAACGATTAACGGATGAAGGCATGATAAACAATGCAGAAAATCAAACTAAATTAACTGAGCAATAATAAAGTACACACAAAATAGCAGAAAAATCCCTCACTGAAATGAATAGAAAACAAAATGTTTGTAAGCAAAATGCATGAAATCAGACAAGCAAAGCACAATATCCAAATGTACAAAACATAAACATAACTTGAAAATTGCAAAAATGTACTCACCGAAACTCCTACAATCACAAAATGGCGGCCACACCACGTGCAAAAAAGAAAGCAAAATGTAAGCCTGTTTGGGGCTTCTATAATTAAGACACAATAACACGCCGAATAAATACTGATTCAGAAGTCAAACAACAAAAATCAGCGTTAATTCACAAAATTTTCACAGGACTAGTTTCGATGGTTTTACCGAACCATCATCTTCAGCTGCAAAACCGCAAATGAACAAGATAGGAAATAATGTTTAGATAAGATAAGAAAGCCTGGACAAGAATAAGCAAGTGGCGCCATCTGTTGGCGAAACCAGAACTAAAACATAATTTCTCTAAAAGCCGAAGGCAAATTTGGATTGGAATTAGGATCGTTAACTAGAACAGAAAGATTTTTATGAATGTGAAATGCCTCTAGAAAATCCAGTTCTCCAATGGAAGATGTTTTTTGAATAATTTTGGCAGCAGAAAAATTGAAAGTGTGATTTTCGGACCAACAATGTTGAGCAACAGAAGACTTCTGTGTTTCCTTTTTTCTAACATATGCCTCATGTTCTTTGACGCGAAATTTTAAGGCTCTCTTAGTTTGGCCAATGTAAATTAAACCGCACTGGCAAGGAATCCTATAAATACCCCAGGAATTCATATCCGGAATGGGGTCCTTGAGTATAGAAGTTGGAATTTTATTGATGGGAGAGTAAACAACCCGAAAGTTAAATTTCTGCAAAATATGTGCAACTTTTATAGCTAATTGATGGAAAGAAGGGAATGACAACAGAATTTTTATAATCTCCTAAAATAAGAGTGTGGCTTTTAGTGTGTTGAGATGAGAATTTTTTAACTGCTTGATTAATAATGTTGGGTGAAAAGCCCCTGTCAATAGCTATTGCTTTTAAATAATTTAGTTCTTCATCAAGGGCTAGTTTGGAGGAGCAAACTTGAAGAGCACGGAAAACATAGGAATAAAATGAAGCTAACTTTTGTTTAGTCGGATGACATGATTTAAAGTGTGGTGGAAGGCAAACCGATGAAGGTTTACGGTAAACTGTAGTACTGAAGTTGGATGTGTTACGTGTGACCAGAATGTCGAGAAACGGAAGAGAATTGCAAGTCTCAAGTTCAAAAGTGAACTGAATAGCAGGATCAATAGAATTCATTGTTGAAAGAACTCTATTTAAATCATCTTTATTACCTTCAAACAGGGTAAAAGTATCGTCTACGTAGCGGAACCATGCCGGGAAGTTTAAAGTTTCAAACAATTTTGATTCATAATAATGCATGTAGATATCAGCCAGGATGGGACTGAGGGGGCTTCCCATGGCTAATCCCTCAGTTTGCTTGTAATATTTATTTTGGAAAACAAAATGTGTTTGTTTCAAACAGAGTTGAGTGAGAGAAATTAGCTCATCAATTTCGATGCAAGAGAAATGAAATTCGCGAAGTCTGGTTTCTAGACATCTTAATGCACCCTCCACTGGGACATTGGTGAATAATGATTTTACATCAAAAGAAACCATGAGTAAATTACGAGGAGAAATGTTTTTAACCTTTTTTACAAACTCTATTGAATTTTTTATGGTGTAAATGTTATTGTCTAATAGAGTGGAAAATCTAGAAACTAAATATTTAGCTAATGGATACGAGGCAGTACCTAAATTTGATACAATAGGGCGGAAAGGAATACCACTTTTATGAATTTTGGGAAGAGCATATAATCTGGCACAATTCGCAACAGATGGGATAAGCGAATGTTTTAAGTTGCTTGAAATGATTTGCGAAGATTTGATCGCAGTTTTTATTTTGGATAAGTCCGAAGGTGAAGGATCTTTAGGGATCGGATTATATGGTCCTTCGTTTAAGAGTTTAGTGACACCATCGATGTAAGTGTTCTTATCCATGACGACTATCTGGCCA